CTAACAAACTGAGGCTCAGTTTAACATGTTCTTCTAAAAGAAGCTGGGAAGAGTACCAAAAGTATAATTAAAGTAGACAGAGAGTTGGAGAGCATTACTCTCAGACTGAAAAAGGGATTCACAGAGAACATTAGGAGTGCCTTAAGCAACTTCCCCAGGTACAGGCTTTGCAGTGAAGAATAAATTACTAGGGAATTGGCTGGACACAAGAGGAGTTGTCAGAGTGGTGTTGGCAGTTTGACCAAGCTCAGTGAAGCTGGGCTTTGCCTTCATCTTTAGAAAAGAAGATATTGGTGTACCCCAAAGATCCTCTGCAGCATGATAGGAGTGAAAATGTTCTTGAGGATTTTCATTTTATATCTGTGAGTCCAAAGTTAAATATCTAAATAATCATTTGACTTCCAAAGATGCTTAGCATTCACTGGCAGTCTTTGATTCCAGTGATTTCATGCCAGGAAGGGGCTGATCCCACTAACACTCAACTATTTCTCTTGTATAAACAGATTCAGTAAGTCCAAAGAAATTGAGTGGAAGTACTTGTGTTAGTGAACATCTTCACATACACAGTGCTTCGATGTATTCATGGCTGGTGTGGAAGTGTGGGGTCAGAAACAAAAATCAAATTTCATAATGTTTGTAGTTTGGGATCTGGCTTTTATTCCATTTTGACATAGAGCTGTTTCAGAAAATCTCTCTTTCCATGCAAGCCTGGATTTTTTCATGTGTAACTCATTTAGTATAACTTTAAGAAATGATGCTCCTTTAAAAAGCAAAGCCAAACAAAATCCCTCTTCATTCTCCCAGATCTGGAACAACCTGAAATATGCCAGCAATTCTCCAAGACTGAAGCAGTTCTTCGGGAGAGCGAAGAAACCTACACAAGCGTTAGTTTTGAAGTGATGAAGATAGGTACAGCCCCCTGCTTTATTTACTGGTGACCACCGACTTGACCATTTGGACCGTGGGGAAAACAAACCAAAACCCAACCAACCAACCAATGAAAACACTCTTGCCTCTTGACAACCCAGCTGAGTTGTCCACCAGCCTTGGGCAAGGACCCCTCCAAGGCAGCGGGAGCTGCGGCTCTAGCAATTGCGCAGAGCCCATTCGCAGACCTGGCCGGATCTTACAGGCTCCCTCCACCAGATAGAGCTGTTTCTCCACAGAGCCTTGTCGCATTCCTAGGCCGCGGAAAGGTCAGGGACTAACCCGAGGTAACAAATGCTGCCTCCAGCCTCCTGCTCCCTCCAGTTCGCTGGCACTGCCCACGAAACAGGGGAAGCAGAGGCTGAACGGGACTGGAAGGAGTAAAAGATGTTCTGAAAGGCTCCTCTCCGCAGAGGGCTACGTGCTGTTGTTACCATTGCTGTCCGTTACAGGCTGAATGCACCCCCATCCGAAATTAGGATGCACGTGCAAATACACCACGCTTTCATGATCTTCTGGGAATGTTTCCCTTACAGTATTCAGAACACGCTGGCTGTACAGTTGTCTGCCAAGTAGCTGTATTGAGAGTATCAAATCACAAATCTGCAAACACTCCTATGCCTGAGCAGCCTAGGCCTGGAGGAGTCCAGACACAAAACAGGGTGTATTTTAGTCTCCCAGGCAGAGTGCTGAGCAGAAGGATTAGGTAGCAGAAGCTACTTTAGTGGAGTAAATTGATTTCTCAACCAGTCCTGTATATCCAGATTCTAGGCCCTCCATGTTCCTCTGAAAGACGCTGGCAAGAGTACCACAGGTGTAATTACCATAGGGTGTAGTTTTGGAGTAGTTTTTGTACCAGGACACAGGATGTAGGTAGAGTGCTTCCTCTTGCCTTTCTATATCAGAAATATGGCACATCCTATGTCTTGTTGTCTTTACCTTCCTAGAAGCACTAGAAGCAACAGCATTTGCTCTTCAACACTTTAAGAACCAAACCCTTCTCAACAGTAGGAGAACAGGAAATAAAATCATGCAAAAAACTAAGTGCTTAAAAATCTGCCAGGTTAAAAATGACACTTACAGCTCTTTATTGTCTGCTAGGTAAAAACAATTTTTGAGGTAGTGCTGCCAATTTTTCTATTGATGAACTTTGTAGGAAGTATCTGAATGTTGTTCATTGTATCTAAGTTAATTGGATTTTAAGAGTATTGTTCAGGGATTTTTTTTTTTGGTAAGTTAATAACTGCCTGATGTTAAAAGCTCAGTCCTGAGATGGACCTGCTTTCTGAAAGATGATTAAAAAAGAAGTATAAAAATGTGCATACAATGAAGGAAATTAAATGAATATAATGAAAACACTGTGGGGTATGTGCACAGATACTTTCCTAATCAATGTAAGGATGGAACTAACTGATCCTAGTGAGCTTGTTGGCCCTCATTCACACAGGTGCCAAAAAACTGCGAAACCAAACCTTATCTTACTTCAGTGCATGGAGAAGTACAGATGAATCAAAGTAGACATCAGGGCCTACACATGCATGCAGTTAATCATGTAAATCATATGTGTAATTTCCCCCAAATAAGATTTCTTAATATGATTGTATGTATTATTTGTGTAAATATACAGATGTGTTTATAATAGGTGTAATCTCGCAGAGAGGCTAGGTCATTAAACTCTCCATGGAAACTGTGTTTATTTAAATCTCACCTTGGAAATTCAGAATACATGTATAGCTGAAAGCCTCATAAAAATAAACAGGAAAGAATCAAAAGAGGTATCTGCTCAGCTGTTAAATTTTCTAATGTCTAAGGAAATAGAAA